TTGGCCTTTTCCCAAAATTTTGCCCCACCCCGAAATGGCAAAAGGGCCCCCCGAAGGGGGAATTTTTCCCCCTTACCCCCTTTTGGGGGGATTTTTCCCACCCCCCAATGGGGGGGGCCCCCTTCCAAAAAAAAAATTGGTTCTTTTAGTGGCCCCCAAAAAATTAATAAACCGAGCCCCCCAAAAACCCCCCCAAAAAAAAACCCCTTTGTAAAACCCCCCCCCCTAGAGAGGGGTTTTTTTGTTTTTCTCTCCCCGGGAATACCCCCTTTTTATAAAAAAAAAAAGGTTGGTGGGCCCCCCTCCCCCCCCGGGGAAAAGTTTTTTTTTTGTTTTAAAAAAAAAAAATTTTTTTTTCCGCGGGTGCATACCCCAAAAAAAAAAAAAGGTGCCCAAAAAAAAAAAAAAAAATCCGCCGCTCTCCTCGGGCTGCGCCGCCTCTCCGATCATTCGCGCATACGCAACCGCCGCCGTCAGGGCGGTGGGGTACTTGGACCTCGAGCACCCGGGCACAGCCGGATCAACGATAACAAAGCACGATTCTCTGGGCGCGAATATTATGTTGAGGTAACCAGTTTCCGCAGCGTGCGACAGATGAAGGTGGAGCCCATCGTGAAAGGCCTCGACCATGACGCCGGCCCGGAATTCGCGCCCAAAGAATTGTGGCCCGATCATCCGGCCCGCTGGGTGCGCTTCTGAGCTCCCCGGCCCTGGATGTGAGGCTGCTGACTGCACTCCAAGTGCTCCAAGTGTGGCCTCGTTAGGCTCGTTCTGCAATGAGCGGCGGCTGAGCGCGTCGAACTTCATCAGAGTAGCAGCGAGTCTGGAGGAGCAGGGCCACCCACGACGTGCACGTTTACGTTTCTTTTTCTTTGCTTTTCGAGCAGCCACGTCATGAAGAAATCCTCGTCAAATTCTAGCGGCCCCCCGTCATCCATCAAGAAGCCGCGAGAACAAGGGACCGGCAGGCGGCGGCGCCGCAGGACGAGACAGAAGAGAACGACGCGACAGAGGAGGAAGTGACAAGGGAGAGAGCGACGAGAGTGGGACGGCCGCGAGGTGGCACGAAGGTTGACGCGAGAATCGGCGAGAGACTGCGAAGAGAGATAAGAAGAGGCAGACTCCCTAGGGTAGGCGACGGCTAGCGCATCACACTCCTCTCCTTAAAATCCCTGTGTGGTGGCGGCGTGCCGTTCTCCCACCCCTCCCTTGGCTTGTATGTTTTCTTTCTTTCTTTCCGTCATCCATCATGACGTGTTGGTCAGCGGTCAATCCGAGCGCGCAAAGGGAAAAGGCTGCGCCGGCGAGAATGCGATGCGTGTGCAGAATGATGCTGCTGGTGTTGCTGGTGGCTCTGCCTGTGCTAGAGCCGTCGGGGGTGTAGCGTGTAGAGAGTTGTGATATCGGCGCCTCCTTTTGTGCTGTACTTTTTCTAATTCTTTTCAGGCGTTCTCGAGGTTCTCGAGGTGGATCTCACGCGACGAGCGCCCTCGTCGGCCAGATCATCCGCCGGAGGAATCTGGTGATCTTGGGCCAAAATGAGGAGAGCGCAGCTGCGGGGCGCGCAAACGATGCATATGTTCATTGTCTCGCCGCCTTTCTAGTTGCGGCTGCCCCCGGTGTCACCCGACACGTGCCCGTGTGCCGCGGACGGCATTGGCTGTTATCACGACAACTACGTTGGCAGCTGCGGCTGCGCCGGCGCCTGCCGCTCTCCCCTCCCGTGTTACATCTTCGACGAGAGGGCGATCAAGAAGGCGAGACAGGCCGCGCTTCGCAGAGTGCGCGCGACCGGGCCGTGAGCCTGAGTGTTTACCGCCTCGGGTTGTCTGCCTGAGTTTTGAGAGTGCCCTTCGATGCCCTTCGTGGAGAACGGGCGTGGAGAGGTCTGTAATACGCGGTGGATAACGGCCGTGAATGAACCGAGTGAGAGAGCGGCGCACATGTGGATTGTGGTGCAACGGCCGCAACGCCGCCGGTGGATTCTGGTGTAGCCCCCGCGCGCGTCGAGAGGTCGTGTCATAATGGAAATGCGTGTTCAGAGCTTCAGACGACGATAACGATTTAAACGTCGAGCTATCGATATCGTGTTTCGTCTTCGATATCCTCGTCTATCTCGCGTGCACCGGTGCAGCCTCGATGGAGTATGGTTTTCCCCTCCCTCAACAATTCCCCTCGACCGCCTTCCCTACGCCAAAAGGCACACGCACATGCAGCAGGAACATCTCGAGGAACATTGGCGACTCCAGAGACGCCGGGTCGCCGGCACCGCTCCTCTATCTGGCCGGCCTCGCTAGCCTAGCGCGGCCGAGTCGAAGGGCTGCGCCGGCTCGTACTCGACGCCGGGCGGCATAGGCTCCATCGGGTGGACGAGGACGGCGCGGTCGCACGCCTTCATGAAGGGCACGTCCGTCGGGTGGTCGCCGTACCCCACCGTCGAGACGCCCGCCGAGGTGGCGAGCGGGTCCGAGGCGAGCAGCGTCGCCTTCTCCTCGCCGATGGGGATCTGGGTGGTCTTGCCGGTGAAGCGGCCCGCGCGCTCCTCGAGCACGGCGCCGTACACCTGCGACGGCGGCACGCGCAGGTACCGCTCGAGCCACGGGCGCGCCATGAAGTCGGGCGAGGCGGTGATGACGATCGCGTCGTCCGCCGCGAGGACGGCCGAGGCGACCGGGTCCTGCAGGTCGGCGGCGTAGCGCGGCGCGAGGAACTCGGCGGCGATCGCCTTGGCGCGCTCCACACGCACGCCGCGGAAGGCGAACCAATACATGACACGCACCGCAAAGGTGCGCGACAGCTTGGAGACGGGAATCAGCACTGCGGCGACGAGCGGCACGAGGAGCAGGCGGATGGAGCGCAGCCTGACGAGGAAGGAGATCACATACCCCGTGCTCTTCTTCGATATCAGCGTCTCGTCCATGTCGGTCACCACCACTGTCCTCGCTGCCACCTCAGCCGAGGCCGACGCGCTCGCCACGATTGGCGCACACCGGCAGACGGCGGGACGGGCTGGCGCAACGCGCAAGCGGTGCGGAGACGGCGCGAAGGCGCCGACCGTGGCTAGCACCGGGAATAGCAGGAGGACGCGTCGCTGCATTGAGAGCGTTGCCGGCGAGAGCCAGGCGGAAATAAGCAGCAGCTGAGCGGAAAGAAGAAAACCCCGTACAAGTGCTCCAATTGCTCCAGTGAAGGACAGGGTCCCCACCTGCAGGATTTTGGAAGGACGATCAGGGGCACAGGTGGGGCTCTCCTGCTCCTGACAAGGGACACGCCCTTCAAAGATTCTTTCTCGATTTCTTCTTTGATTTGGCTCTCTGACTCTCACGTCTCAGACAGGGCTGGCTATTCCCGAGAGGTGAGAGCCAGCAGGATGTTTGTGTGCTGATGATCTGGTGTGAAGAGGACACCATCCATCCCACAGACGCCTTGCAGGCCAGTACGGGTCTTGCAGATCTTGCCGCTCTCAGGCTCCTGAGGGGGGGGGGGGGGGGGGGGCGTTAGGCTGCTGCCCCGTGCCCTGGGGAGAGGGAGGGGCCGGGTCTGGTATCTCTCGGGAGAATGAAGGGCGGTACACAGCAGGTGCAGACAGATCACACTTCACAGCCAGGCTCCGTGCTGCCAGTAGCACGCGCCCCGCCAGGCGCGCAGGGCGGTGCGCAACTGGAGGCTGCAGGATGGCTGACTGCCAAGCTGCTCGGTGCTGCTGGCGGATCGTGCCCCCGACCGGCGGTACGCACCCCCTAGGAGATCGCAGGGGATCGCGGGCGGTCGCGGGCCTGAAGCTGAGCCAAGTGTCGTAAAACGCAATGAAGTCATAGCGCGCCTGCGCGCGGACTGTTCGCGGACGCGAGAGGTTGCATGAACCCGTGGTGGGAGATAAAGCGTCACGAGGGCAGGCAAGGCGGGTGCAGGGGCACAGGCGAGGGTGCGGGGGAGGGGTGGCACCTTCGCCCTCCCACTCACAGCCGCCCCCCTGCGGCTGCGCACCTACACACGGAGGGCGCGAAGCGGCGGTCAGGTATGTGTAATAGTGTATGGGTGAGCATCTGGGATTAGCGTCTGCGCTTTCTTTTTCCTAGACACGAGCAAATTTTCGGGCCTTGTTTTTGCTTTTGGCGCGCAGCTTGTGAGTTGTGTTCTTTTCGTCACCCCAGTTTGGACACTTTTTCAGTGTATGTAGCTCTTACGTACATTCCCGTAGGAGACTCTGCTGACAGGGTTTGCGATGAGGAGCGACCCGAAGGGTTTCTCGGAGGTTAGTGCACCACTAACCGCCGAAGCGCAAGAACTCTACGACGGATCGGGCTCATACTAGCACCCCACCTCGCGAGCCGACGTTCTGGCTCAGCGAGGCTGCTGCGGAGCACTCGCGGACCGGTTCTTCTGGTCCAGCGAGGCCGCTGCGGGGCACCCGGCGGCTCGGGTCACTTCTCATCACAAACTCGGTCGAGCAGGAGGTAAGGTGTGTGCGTGTGGGAGGCGGCGCGGCACTGTAGGAGCGGCGGTACGGCGGCACGGCGGTAACGCACGGCAGGAGGGACGGCGAATAAATGGCAAAGGCGGCGAGGCGCGGAAGGAGCGGCACGGTAAGGAGCGGCGGCACGGCGGCAGACCACGGCAGCGAACGGCGGAGCATTGGGCGGCGGGTCAAACGACTGAGCAGAGGGCGGCGGCAGGAAGGAGCGAGGATGGCGCGGTGGCGGCAGGACCACGGATAGGGTGGCACGGATAGGAGCGAGCGAGCGGCTAGGCGGCGGGAGGGCGAGGCGAGGGTGGCGGCGGGCGGATCACGAGGAGGTAGAAGGTCTGGCGCGAGCGGGCGAGCGGACGGCGAGCGAGCGGCTTGGCGGCGGGAGGGTGAGGCGAGGGTGGCGGCGGGCGGATCACGAGGAGGTAGAAGGTCTGGCGCGGGCGTGCGAGCGAGCGGCGAGCGAGCGGCTAGGCGGCGGGAGGGTGAGGCGAGGGTGGGGGCGGGCGGATCACGAGGAGGTAGAAGGTCTGGCGCGAGCGGGCGAGCGAACGGCGAGCGAGCGGCTAGGCGGCGGGAGGGCGAGGCGAGGGTGGCGGCGGGCGGATCACGAGGAGGTAGAAGATCTGGCGCGAGCGGGCGAGCGAACGGCGAGCGAGCGGCTAGGCGGCGGGAGGGCGAGGCGAGGGTGGCGGCGGGCGGATCACGAGGAGGTAGGAGGTCTGGCGCGGGCGTGCGAGCGAGCGGCGAGCGAGCGGCTAGGCGGTGGGAGGGTGGGGCGAGGTCGAGCGCGAGCGGGCGAGCGAGCGGCGAGCGGGCGGCTAGGTGGCGGGAGGGTGAGGCGAGGGTGGCGGCGGGTGGATCACGAGGAAGTAGAAGGTCGAGCGCGAGCGGGCGAGCGAGCGGCGAGAAGGTGGCGGTGGCGAGGGTGGCGGCGG